TCCACCAAAACTGAGGTTCGACTTTATACTCGATCCTGCACCCGGAGTCTGTTTTAGAACCCCTTCCCCGCAGGCATTCACACTGCAAACATCCGCTCGGATCACTTTCAGGCGTTCAAAGAAACCTACGTCAAGGTGATCTCCGAAGTCTGGGTTGGGCGACCTGGTCGTCTGTCCAGAAATGGGGCCGAAGACGTTGCTTCGTGGCCAAAGGTGGCCAGCGACACCCCCTCGGTTTTTGAAGTCTAGTCTATGAGTCTATGACCTCCCACTGACAGGAGCATGGACAACTCCGACAACTCCAAGGTGGACGGGTCCCAAACGGGTGTAGAATCGGCCGGTCCGTGTGTCGATCTTCGGGGACGAGTCCCATCCACAGATCGGCCTAAAACACGGTTGTAGGGACACTACGACTGCTACTACTGGGGTCCTAGCCAGCAGATAACAACGATATCTATCACATGCCCACTGATATTGCTCACTCACTTGCGATGATCCAAAGTGCACCATGGGCACCCATGGGCCCTCCCTCCCATCCCCACGAGACCATCACGCCAACCGATACCCCCATGGCACCCATGAAGATATCGGAGACCACTGAGACAGCCAGGAAGAGCCACAGAAGGCCCAAGAGGTACAGCACGGCACGAAGACCTTTCCGCCATTCCTGGCTCTTCGAGCTTGAATTCAAGGCACCCGGAGGTGTGGAAAAGCCAAAGACCCAAGGTCTGAATGAATCACTTGGAACATCAATTGAAACTTTCGAAGTTGGAATCCTGATCTATCTCTCTCGTATACGTTCGCTGTAGACTCACATCCGTTTTCTTGCGTCAAATGGAATGATGTCTTTCACCACACTGCCAAACCATTCCCGAAACAAACCAGTAATTAACGAAACCACAGAAAGGGTGGTTTATAGACTGACTCCCTGACTTTGCATTTTCCCTCCCATAACAATCTTTTTCCGTGCTGATTCCACAGTTGCCCACCCCACCCCCACTCTTTCCTCTAATCCCCCTTCCCCTTTCCACCCCTCTCGACCCCTTTCTTCAACCCCAGGCTCCCCTCTCCGTTCCGTCGGGACCCGCCTGCTCGGCCTCGCCGAAGAGCGGCAGAAGGATCCCTCCACCACCAGGCTCGCAGATCTTCACCTCGCCACTCCACCACACTCCGGTGCGGGGCGCACCAGTGCGTGCGCGCGTCGGGCGCGAGGGGCGGCAGACATCGAAAACCGGTGGGGAGACCGGAGGACCAGCCTACGGGCGTGCGCTACGCAGCTTGCGTTGGGGGACTCCAACGACGGTAACAGGTCCAGAGATGTCCAGAGGTTCGGTTCGGAAGGAACAGTGGTCAAACAGGGCGTGGGAAGCTGCAACATGGAAAAGCCCAGTGAACATGTGATGCAGGCTACAAGAAACAAGTCAGTGTAACTGATGGTGTTGCTTTGTTTGCGAAGAGGTATGTTCCACGGGAACATGCAATGCCGGGAAGATTCAGTCCATTCCTTAAATGACTGAAGGGATCCAAACGAAACACGTGGTGTGTTCGTCCCAAAAGGACACCCCATGTGTGTGTGCCATGCTGGGGACGCTGGTCCGGACCTAGCTGGTTACAAAGTATCGTCAATGCAAGAGACTGCTTGTGACTTGAAACCTGTGGACATGGAGACTCGTGGGTATGCTGGCAACTGCGTCCTCAACAGATCTGCGTGGATCCAGTACTGCGGGAGATCTTTGCAACCCCTGAGATCCCTGAGACTCTTGATTATATATACATAATGTATCATGTAGACTCTTTTTTCACTGTGATGTATAGACTCTTGATTATATATTACACAATAGACCCCGCATTTGGCTTGTAAGACCTCTTCATATGAAATATATGGAGGGTTCTTATTATATAATCAAGATTCCTTCCTTGTTGATTCAACCAAGAAATACCGAGGATACTTCATTACAACAAACATCCCACCTTCGCAACGCAGCAGTCCCAGTCCCTTCGCAACACAGCAGTCCCACATGACGGTCACCGTGCCTGGCTGTCGCATGACATGAACACCTGGCGCATCTGCCGTGAACATCCGTCAACTTGCTCGCAAGTCCATTTCAGGAACCCTCTGATGGACAGCTGTGCCTGCTTTGGCATGCATGTGCACATTTTGTGGAGCAGTCACTGCACCACGTTGCCATCAAGGGAGACGTCTACATGGAGAAGAGACATTCTGGACAAGAAATGGCTGTGTTATGCTGTATTCTTTTACAAGAGGAAGACCTCCACATGCACTCCCACACGCTTGATCGCTCAAGGTAAACCGCGCTTGGTCGCGGGCCTCAAGTTGGCCCCGGAGGGCCCAAGGAGGGGCACATGCTTCATCAGAAAATCCCTTGGGGCTGCGAGCCAAATACAGCGACGGCGAAACGGTTTCTGTGTCGAGGACGAAGTCGTGGCCGGTCCCCGGGAGAAAGGAGAAAATGCTGCGGAGAAAAGGGAGGAATACGTGCTCTCTGGGTTAGCCTCGAATTGGAGACCGGGAAGCCTACAGGAGCTTGATGAACCAGGCACGCTTCCACCAAACACAAGTTTCACCGAGAAAAGTATCCAAGATCATCTAAGATCTATCATCTTCGCTACCTCAAAGCTTCCATAGTACTTCGTGGGAGGGTTGTCTCCTGTCTGGAATTGATCAGATCTGAATCTGAACCACCTTTCCGATACTTTCCGAAGGCAATTTGCAGACAATGCGAGATTCAGTGATGATCTTAGGTGAGAATCTCAACCAATGGTATATGGATCATGACTTCACAAGCAGTGCCCTTCTGAGAATTCCCAAGAATCCTACGAATCCTCCCATCATTTACTCCCGTACGCTCTCTTCCTATCCATCCTCTCCTAGCAATCCGAGCGCAGCTAAAAGCGCGCAGTCGGGCATGAAAATCGCCTTCACCGCGGCCCTGCTAGCAGTGGAAATCCTTGCCAGCAAACTTTGGGTGGGTGAGGCTGGGAACTCCTGACACTTGCAACACTGGTACGCCGCAAACCTACCGCGAAGCGAGTCAGATGATCGAACCATATGAACTACCTGCCTCCAAGCAGAGCTTGAAAAATCCTTTCACACAAACAAAAAAGAATAGCTCTTTCCAACCGGAAGTAAGGGGGGGCACTTCAAAATTGAGTTACAAGTTTATTTCAACATTCAATCCCCCTGAGCAACTGGATTTAAAGTTGCTTATCCACCAGAAATGCGGGCGTTTCTGAAGTCGTTTCCCCCTTCCCCCGAAGGGCCCTAAGACAAGAGACGCGCGAAAGTACACCTCCCCCTCCAGAGAAAAGTCTTTCTATATAACTTGATCAGCGCAAAAAAAAAGCTAAAAATAGTAATACTGTATATGATAAAACCATCCTTCATCTGTGCAACAAAGAACACCTGGCACTTGTGCAAGCAAGAAGCCGCAACGAGAAATGGACAAAACCACGGGTATTTGCAGTATTTCGGGGTAAAACCACCCGGGTGGTGCCGGAGAACTCTTCTATCAAACCTTGAAGAGACGGAGAGACTGCTGGTAGTCTCGAGAGGCTTCATACAGTGCACAGCTATAGATAGAGTCTGGGCAAGCATAGGTGCATCCCACTGTGCATCCCATACCACTAGGTACCCCCTGACCAAGTGCCATCTGTTAGTGAATGCTCCTGCTCATCCTGGTGCCCAACTTGAAGTGCAGGTAGGTATCTATATATCGAGATGCCGGGGTTGCAGTCATTCGAAGGAACGACTCACAGAACCACATGCATGCAAACTAATGCCAGCATGAGGATGGCAGCAAGTCCCCATCAGCATGACTCTCAAATAGAAGCCCAAGTCAGATCCAGATTGGCTAGCTGGAAACGGCGGAGCATGAACACAACTCGGTGAATCTGAGCTATTGCAATGTACTGGGGAGACCCCCCCCCCTGGCTAATATATCTATAAAATGCCAATGTGGTCAACAGATCGATTCATTCAATGCAGAAACCTGTGGGACTTCCTGCCGTCGCCCCCCTTCCATCTCTCAATCGAATCGCTCAGGACTTCAAATGTGTCCGAGCGGCCAACGGCCCAGCCTGCTGACCTTTGCTCTGACCAAACAGCCAGCCCGGTCGCAGTGGCATGTTCTATCATAGCTCACTGTCCAAACTATTTCAAAATTTAGTGTGCCATGATTAGATTCGAAGCGCACTTGTCGCATCGGCAACCGGGCTGCTGCTAGGTCACTTGGTTGGCTGGATCGTGTCTCCAGAGCTCTTTGCGCCCCGAAAACGGACAGCCGTCACTAGAGCCAGTGCTCTGGGGAGAAAAGAGCCTTCAAAAAAAGGTTACGTCACTGTTTCTGGACCAACAGAACCCACGAGAACCAATCAAAAGAACCCATCACCCAACCAAAGAAAACATCAACCACCTGGAAGACCAATTCTTCATTCTCGACCCACGGGGCGTCTCGTCCTGCTGCTTCGCCGGACGACATGCATTCCGTACCCGGGACCAGCCTTCCTCGAGGCTCGCCTGAGTCGCACCGCAACTGACTGGCCATTGGACTCCGACTCTCAGGGCTTGATGATATTTCAACATATTTCAACACCATATGAGGAAGCTTTAACATCCATGGGGTGGTTTGATGAGTCTACAATTAACAATGCGCATGTGGCAGATGCTCCGGCAGCTTCAGGTTTTACCGAACGCCCAGCACCTCTCGTCTTTGTAGCCAAATTGGTCCGCCCTTTCTCAATGTTCCCATAGATTGGCCATATACAGTATAAGAAACAGCACGTTCCCGTGAATCTATGTCTAATACTAATATGTTCCATTTTAAAACAGTAGCCGAAATCGGCCCAAATTTCACCAGACCGCGATCCAGATGTCACCCCCCCAGTCTCTCCTGTTTTGCTCCGACCTCTCCGAGGATTTCGCTCGGCCACGACCTCTGGTCCGAGGCTGCCCACCGGGTTTTCATGTGTTGCAGCACCGGTCACACCTGCCATCTCGGCGCACCCCATCGCGGACGAGACGAAAACGCCCGGCGTCCGACTCGGAGTGCGGGGCGTTTCCGAGCAACGCGAGACAGGAGACGTGTGAGGTTGGGATTTGTGGTGGGTGGTCGTAGGTCTTAAAAGTGGAAGAATGTGCTATCCACTACAAAAGTGCCAAGCACCTTTACCATGGGCGTTAGGTCATTTTGGGGGGTTGAACCCACCCATCAACTGTTGTTATCCCTACACCCTACACTGCCCTACACCCCAACTTTTCAGGATCCATGTGGTTCTTAGATTTGTTTGCCAGACGGACAGAGGGGTGTGCTTTATATTATCCCAAAAACATCATATTCAAAAATGGAAGTGCAGGTGCAGGGTTCTAAATCGAAAGACGAGTTCTGGTAGAGAAAACAAAACACACAAAGGTACCAAAAGCAGGACGTGTCCAATCCACATGTGACACTGTAGCTTCAAGCGGCTTATTCCATGGATGATCTTCAGGCACAGCACAGTTCGGCAGATCCCTAATCCTTGTCAGTGATCCAACCACACTCTCTCCAAAAGCTCGTTAATTACGTTCCAAAACTTGGTTTTTTTTAATTGGTGTTTGTAGCGATTGCAGCTGGAACCATCAACCCAACTGGGACCTCCTCAGCCTCTGGAAGCTCCGGCTTCCACAGGCGCTCCTCGAGTGAACCACGCCGTGTCCCGGCAGATCCGGTGCCGCCGCATATGGGTCTCACCACCGGATGCGTCGGAGCGGCTAGGAGTTCGGGGGATTCACTGCAGGTGGCGTGTGTTGCAGATGGCAGAAACTCGATTTCTCGGCAACTGCAAATGCAGAACTGCATGCATGCATAGAGCTACCCTGGTTAAAAACCTGGGGACATCGCTGACATCTTCCTTTGTAGAACCCTTACCATAGCCATGTAGAACACACCCAGATTCTTTTGTTTGAGGCCTCAACCTGTACAAGTACCTTCTTATGATGCTGTTCAACCATCAATCTCCGTCATCTCCACTTCTAATGTAGTCAAGTCTCACCTCACCCTCTCGCCTCCCACCTCTCGTCTCCCTCCGAACGACCCAACTCCCGTCCTCGGTCGTCAACCTGGCTCCACGCGGGATCGGGTGGACGGCGACGGGAGCGGCGCCAACACGTTGCAAGTCACGGTGCCCTGTGAAGATGATGCGGACTTGCAACGTGACAAGATCTCAAATGAGCTTCATTTGCAAATGACATGGTTCGAAAACGATATGTGTTTTTCTGACACCGAAGTCCGTTTGGCCACAACGTGGTTGGATGAACTCTTAGACTGGAAGGGCGACCAGAAAACCATACATTATATAATCCCTTTCCCTTTAATGCCCAATATATATATATATATATTATGGACCTGCCATCACAGTGCATGTCTGACCTGACATCTTTGTTTTCCAGCTGAATATCCGCAAAGTCACCGTAAAGATGCTGATTGATGGATGAGTATCCTCCAACCCAAAGTCCCATGTCTTTTCTTCCCTTCTGACCCGCCGTTGCACGGCCAAAAGCGACGCCTTAGGGACACTGGCTGGTCCCACAAAGCTCGAAGGAGCCGCGCTTTAGGCTTCACCAGGACCATGTCCTGGCCGGCATGTTTGAATCGGCGTTTTTGGGGAAGCCCGCCGACAAACCCACCAGGAAAAGACTCACCCCTTCAAGTATGGCTTACGGCAAAGAAAAAACTGCCACATCCCAACACCAGTCATCTTTCCCAAAGCCACGGAAAACTATTTAGCAAGTCACCTACGCCTCCACTCTTTTCTCCGCGCTATCCACACGACTCAGCAAGCCACCCCATCCCAAACAAAATTGTAGTAGTAAAGTAGGGGTTTTGAGGTTTCAGGGTCAACTGTATTTCTGAAAGGGTACCGCAAACTCCTCACTATATTCCTCGTTTTTTTGAAAAGGGTAATCATATGGACTTTTCCCCGCCGCTGACGCCATGCTTCCTTCAACTCCGTAAAGTCAAAGTATAAATATATCTATAATAATATATTGTCTTCTTCATCATCGCTGAACTCCCTCTCAAGAAACATATTCAATCTTGTCCTGTCCATCTGGAATATTGATTGTTTTCTGCACGCTGAAGGTTGTTCCGTTTCTTGCTACACGTCCCGCAGATGTTGACCAAGAACTTGAGCGTGTAATAGTAGGCAACTGGTCTGGGTCAGTGTTTTTTCCAGCCGTTGTTTAATTTTTTTTGGGGGGGTAAGTCAAGTATAGTGTCCAAATGGTCCTTTTACATCTCAAGCTGTACTATATTAACTGAAAATGCCTGACTGGAAAGGTCTCATGAGAACGAGGAAAGGTCTCAAGAGCTCAAGACACACTTCACGACACTGTTTCGGGTGACCGTTTTCGACGAGGAGTTTGAAGTGGCCAAGTCTTAAGAACGATTTGTGGGAGAACAGACTGACAAGAGCCCTCAGCTTGAGAACATGAATGACATCAGACCACTATCCGTTATCCTACGGGTTATCGAACTCGAAGGTTTGCCCCTCAACACTGATGAAACCAAGACCCGAACGAATTACCAATTACGTGCTTTCAACGTGAAAACCGGACATGGCAAGCAACCTGAAACAACATGTAGATTCTTTGGGCAAGGGGATCAATTCATTAGACGATTGAAAGTTGAACATTTCGATCGTTCTGGACGAACTCCAGGGAGCGACGGTTGAACTTCATCTGGTTGAGTGCAACATACTTGCCCGGATGGTGGTTAGCTAGGCTTAACTAAGTCTAACCTTGAATTGTAAGCACTTAGTAAGTAATTGGTTTGGACTTAGCTAAGTCCAACTTGGCTGTGACTTGGAATCGACTTAGCATTGCCTTATAGTTGCCTTCTACCATTCTACTAAAGTGTTGCTTCTGATGCTTATGTTTGGTTAGAAAGCTTGAACAAAACAACCAGCGGCGCCAGGCCGCAATGGCCAACCATATCCCCGACTGTCGCGCAGCATCCACATCACTCACGGTTGGTTGAGCATCTCTGCCCGAATGTGCATCCCCAAGTTGCTCGGATGAACGTTAACAACTCACAGTCTCCTTTCTCGATCATATGTTAACATTGTTTAAAGGTGTGTTTGAAAGGTTTTAAGGCAAGTACATAAAATTGAAACAACTACCAGCACCCGACTTCACAGGTCACCACCTGCGACGTTTAAGTCTCCAAAAGCCACCAGAGGAGACCTGTTGGAGGGTGCTGGTATATATATTTAAATATTAGTTTTTAATAGTAAAATATATGTTTGCCTTTAAAAGTAAGTGTCATGAAAAAATGCATAAACATAAAGATTACATTTGTGATTTCCTTATTTTCATTGACGAATTATTGTCATATGTTTTTCCTGGCGGATTATGGCAGCTACACTTTTCATGAAGAAGTACCGTCGCAAAAGGTATGACACGGTTTACTAGCAAAACGTATATGTCGTAGACTGGCTGTCATCATTACGACATGTTTGGATATTTTTAGAGATACATGTTTTGCCAGGAAACAATATGACAATATTTTGCAAACAAAATTACACATTTGGTTACTGGTTATTTGCCCACAAAAGTTTACTACGCCAGGACGCGGCAGGCGCAATTGTGAAAAGACAACTGCACGACACATGAGCTATTCTTGTCGCAGTTTGTCTCAACAAACCTCTTGTTGTTGCATGTCCATGGCACTTGCCTTGCTGCTATTCTGGCACCGATGTATATATAAATAGATTTATGTTATATATATTACACGCGTCGCTGATTAAGAATCTCAAAAGAAACTTAAACATGGCAAAGCCACAGATGTTTGCAGTGAAGCGTCTGCTTCAGCAGTTGCTCTCAAGTTACTTCAGATATTACAGCTTGGACTTAGCGTGGACTTTGCTTTGATTTAGGATTGACTTAGCTTCGACTTAGTTTTGACTTAGCCTCGGCTTAGCTTTGACTCAGCTTGACTTTTTAAGTCGCTTAAAGGGTTGAAGCTAAGTCCAAGTTAGACTTACCTCACTTAGAATTGACTTAGCTAAGTCACCGCAGCTAACTTCACGACGCGGTGGCACAGCGACATCCGATCCACGCTGAACACCGGTGTTTGCCGTGGAGAGCCCTGAAAGGTTTGATGATCCATGTTTGGAACAGGACATCCCAACGTCGAGGTTGGGCAATCTCAAAGATACGGGTGAGCTGGCTTAGGGGGTCTGGTCCAAGTCCCAGGCTTAAAGCCGAAAAATGGCCCACTGGCGGACCGGCGTCTGTTGCGGGGTCTCAAGAGAACCAGAGAGAGAGGCGTGAGATTGGACAGTCAAGCTTCAGCCGAAATGGCTACCGATTTAACACAAACGATTATTTGATTAAAACACGCAAAAAGTGACCAGTTCGTGGCAACCGTCTGGAAGAAGCATTTGACCCTGAAACCCTACCCCTCCTTGACCCTTTTTGTTCCTCCAACCAAACCGACCGCCAGACGCAGCACGTTCCGGGCCGACACCACGGGTCCCCAGTCTCACCTTGGTGGCGTCCACCTTGAGCTGCAGGAACTTCATCATCCCCGCACCGCCCAGCTTTCGAAGCACCCTCAGGAGGACATGGGGGCCACATCGGCGGGTTAGGGGGGGCAAAGGGTTTGAGGATGAGGGGAAGTGGCCGGGGCGGGGAAACGAGTCTCAGGGGCTCTGCCATCTCTCCCCATAAATCATCTCATGTCGTTGATTTCGATAAGGAACATATAGGAAAATCCTCTTGCAAAGCCTGGGGTAGGCTATGGTGGTTTTGGAGGAAGTCTGGTGAATTCTCCAAGGGATTCTGGTGAATTCTCCCAGGGATTCTGGTGAATCTCGATCTCTCTTCAATGCCATGTGGTGATTTTCCTGTGAAATGCTGTGTTTTGGTGCGAAAACACAATGCAAAACGTTTGCGAGAAAAGAACACTTCGAAGTACTTCCTCACCAGCTCTCCACTTTGACTCCAAATGCATAAAACCTCACATTTAGGATCATTTAGGAGGAAAAACGTTCTCGTATTTGTTGTTTTTCGATGTTTTTCGCTGTTCAAAAAGGCTCCGCAAAGCAGGCAGCCCCATCCAATATTAGATTTGGCAAAAATGGCCCCCGGCGGCTCCGTTTCTCCCTGGCCTGTACAACAGTAACGTAGCTCCATCTTGATTGCTCTCGTCAAAATCGACCACCTAAGAACTCACGAACTGGACTGGCGGCTCAGCTGGATGGCTCAGTCAGCCACACCGGCAGCACATCTGGGGGGGAAGGGCCGTGGCCGAAATGCCAAGTCGGTTCCAAGTTCCAGGCCTTCATGCTCAATCAAGTTCCAAGCCCAACAAAGCCGTGGCAACTCCCAATGTCCGAACCACTCATGACGACGCGAAGACGATTCAAGTCTCTTCGCCAAGCACGGTGACTCACCAATGGTGGCCACACCAAAAACGGAGTTTCCATGGTGGTGACATGATGGAGTTGCCATCATCCAGTCAGCACCTGAGAGCCGTACCACGTTGTCCTTTCCATGAGGATCTGGCCAAATCGAAAAGAAGCGACCTTGCGGCTTCCGAGTGCGGGCGATGGGTATCGGAAGCGAGTCCAGGGAAGAGCGCCCAGACCCTGAAACGAAGCAAAAGGTCACCGTGAAGTCCAAGTTGGAGTGCCTGGGGGTGGGTTTTTAGACCCCAACTTCAAGGGCTGTGGATGAGCAGATTCTTGATTTTTTGGGGACTTAACTTTACAGCGTTGATGATCTCTATCCACATATCAATGAATGGTACGGTGCATCTAGCATTCTATCTTCATAGTTCTGGAAGATTCCATGAAAAGTAGAATACTTCTTGGGCTGATTTGTTGCTTGGAATTCTGAAGGCTCCAATAATTCTTTGCAAGCGTCACGTCTTCCTCATGGAGAAAGTTCTCAAGTTTTCGCTGCAGGTGATGGCATCCCCCCATCCTCCGAACGCTGGAATCCTGGAGGACCCCAGACCCACCAACGGACGGACGGTTTCTCAGGCTGCATGTGGGTTTGGAGGCTTCTAGGTGCTAGTTTGGAGAGTGTCAGTGCAAATAATGTTAAAATCCCTACCCCTCAGTATAGATCAAAGTTAGTGTGTCGATGTGAGGTCCCTTCCCTTTCATCCGTGACAAACAGAAAGATCAGAAAGCATCGTCCAACAAAGGCTACCCTAGGCCAATGACTTCTGGACTCTGTTTGGGCTCTAAAATGGGTTCTGTTTGGGGATGTTTGGGGAGTGTCAGTGTGAGTCAGAACTTCAAGTTGATGACCGGGCTTGTCATGACTTTAAGACCTGGTCTGTAGCCAGTGGCAAGAAGGCCAGCAAGAAGAACCAGTTTTAAGTCCTTGTCTCTCTGGACTCCTCTTCAGATGCGTTTTTAAGAGGATCTGAAAAAAAGAAAAAACAATCATTCTCCCGAGCGTTTCATGGCTTCGAAGATCCCTCCGGCGGCAGAAAAAGGATGAAAAAGGTACGTAACATCTTTCAACGCCGGGTGCCTTCCGCACACACCCAACGCCGCCTCCCTAGCGCGGCACGGCGCGGAGCGGCTCCGAACGGGCCCCAAGTTCCGTGCGAATGGGCCACCGCTCGAGTGCGCGCAACTTCCCCCTTCCGAGCCTTCTGTGTCCAAAGGCTTTAGTGCAAAGGAGCCGCGGACGGCGAACCTGGAGAGCGGAACGGCCAGGTGAGGGAGCGGAACGTGGCGGACGTGATGGAGGATGACCGCTTCAGGGACGACTGGTCTGAAGGGACGACGCCTCGCTGCCACTGAAAAATTCCAAAGTCGAACTTGTTGCAAAAGCGGGGGAAAGTTGAGGCCCATGTCTTGGGTTGGTTCACCAAAAATTGTTAACAATGCGTCAAGGTCAGGAGGCTCACAATTCCTGGAGAATCTGAGACATCATCTGAATCTGAGTCAGAGGTGTTTTGGAACACCATCTAGAGAATGCCCAGAGCTATGAGTCTACAATCTGGAACCAATGGGTTGTAGAGTTTTCCAAAGGTCCATGTCAGGTTCCAATGTGGGTCTCCCGGGCGTACAAGCTGGACAGATGTTGGACGATAACTGGCACTGGCCTTCCACTTCACCTGTCAGAACGAGTGCACAGATCCCTACCATCCGAAGGTTGACAACCAATTCATCCCCAAGCAGTCATGCTTCTCATTAGACTCTCTTCCAATTGCCTGACCCAGGATCCAGGAGAAAGAGATTTCCTTTCCAGCCTAAGGCCGCCTCCCAAGTTCGGCTGCATGTCTTTTTGGGGGGACACCGAGGGCAGATCCTCCGGTCCGCTGCTAAACCCCGGCCGTTACCACGGGGACCGAGCCACGGTCCGAAGCTCAGAACGGAGAGGTCGATCGCGACACCCGAGGACGGGCTGAGGGCGCGGCCATCCGTCGTTCCCACCACCTGCGAGTTGAGGAGGGAGGCACATCACCCCAACGGGGAGCCCAAGATCGGAGCGTCTGACGAGATCGAAGTCCGTCCGACGCTGCAAGAGAGCCGCAACTCTGCGGTGGTTGTGAGGATGTCTTGGAACCAATTTCAACGACCGCAGTAACGGATCCCATTCAAACCACTTATATAGTGTTTTCGAACAAGTGACCCCCAAACTCCGTGGCACATCACCCAATCAGCTGAAACAATGCCTCCCACCCCTGACTTCAAGAAGAATTACCTCTGAATCAGTGCAGCATTGTAGCATGTACAGGTCGTGCTTTTTGTGTAGAAGAAAAACACCCAAAAGACTTTGGGGCCAATGAGGGCAGAACGCACTATAGCGATCCCTTGTCG